TTCCTCACTGCAGAGAGGGGGAAAGCTGGGGATGGGTAGAGGAAGGCGACACGATTGGGTTCCTTTCTGGTGTGTGTGTGTGTGTGTTTTAAGATTTATTTATTTATTTGAATGAGTTACACAGAGAGAAGGAGAGGCAGAGAGAGAGAGAGAGAGAGAGAGAGAGAGAGAGAGAGAGAGAGGTCTTCCATCTCTAGTTCACTCCCCAAGCAGCCACAATGGCTGGAATTGAGCTGATCGAAGCCAGGAACCAGGAGCTTCTTCCAGGTCTCCCACGTGGGTGCAGGGACCCAAGGACTTGGGCCATCTTCTACTGCTTTCCCAGGCCATAGCAGAGAGCTGGACCAGAAGTAGAGCAGCCGGGACTCAAACTGGTGCCCATATGGGATGCTGGCCCTGCAGGCGGTGCCTTTACCTGCTATGCCACAGCGCCACCCCTTCCCCTTTCTGTTTTTATGCATTCACTTTTCTACCCCTTGGCGCCCGGGCCTGGGAACACAGCAGTTACCTTTCTCTTTATAGGCTCCATGGGAAAGTTCTAGGAAAACCCATGTTGGACCTTTTGCTGAGGTTAGCACACCTAAATCCAGCCTCCCAGCCAGGTGATGGCCTCAGAGGTAGAGTGTCTGTGTGTGTGTGTGTGTGTGTGCAAAGTCTTCCCCTGGAGGCATGGTGGTGGGCCAGTATCCCTCCTCAGTAGGAGCAGGTAATAACAGCCAGCTAGGAGGGGTGGTGTATTCTATGTATGTGTGTGCGCGTGCGCCAGCAGGTCCCACAGTGGGCCACATGCGGCATCCCTGGCCCCTTGGGATGGGCCTCCGGGGTCCCTGACGCTGGCTCCAGTTCTCTGTCTCTCTCTGCAAACACTCATCAGTTTGTGATGGCTGCGGGGAGGTGGCGCCGGTGCAGAGTGGGTCCTTTTTTTTTTCTTTCTTTCTTTTTTTTTTTTTTTTTTCAAAACCTGAAGCGGCCCTGCTCGGGGCTGTGAGTTCACCAGAAAACAACTTGTAGATACAGTCAAACCGCCCTTGCACTTGTCCCACCCGCTGCTCCGTGGCCCCGAGAGAGAGCCCAGGCTCCCGAACTTCAAGGCCTGGGCACGGTGACGAGGTATTTTTTCATTTCTCCCCACTTTGGGGTGGTGATGGATGGCGGTGAAGGAGGGAGGAGGCTTCCCGTCGCAAAGCCCTAGCTCTAGGCCCGTTCCTTCTCCCGCCAGCCTCTTCCCCGCTCGCTCCTCTTCCTCAGCCCCACAGCAGGCCGGCGGGAGACCCCAAAGGAAGCCGACTGAGGACGCCGGCAGCTCTGCCCTGGACACGGTCGGCCTCGTCCCCAGCCCCGCCCTGCTTCTCCGCCCCGCCCAGCTCCGCAAACCGGCCAATCGTGGCTCGGGAGTTCGCGTCGCGGTGACGTCGCCGCACAGCCAATCGGCAGGCGGCTGGGGCTGTGTGCGCACGTCCCCCGGGTGCTGCGGGGCCCGCTGCTTGCCAGCGGGCGGAAGCGGGGCGTCCTGGGCCCTGAGACCCTCCGGGGAGCTCGCTTCGGCCGCTTCTGGACGGTTTCCTCGCTTCTCCACCTCTGGGCCGGACAGGCCTGTCTCTAGTTTCGTTCTCGATGGTGCCCCAAACCCCATTTTACAGATGAGAAAACTAGGGCTGGGAAGGTGAAGGCCACGCGCGTGAACTCCTGCTTTTTCTGAACAAGTTCGTGGCTGGGGGCCGGGAGCCCTTCCTCGGGCCCTTCAGCAAGCCCCTCTGCCCTGCATTTCCAATGCCCAGTGCAAAGTGCATCCTCCCGGCTTCCATTCTTTTTGGAGAGTGGTCCTGGAAAAAGACCCCCCGGAGAGGGCGCCTCGCGGCCCCCTGTGGGGTGGGGGCCGGGGGCCTCTTGCAGAGCCCCTTCCCCTGCCACTGCGGGCTCAGGATGGCCTCCTGTCCCCACATCCCCAGCCTCCATCTAACCCCTTGTTCCCAGAGTGCAGCCCCACCTCCTCGGAGCAGGGGGCTGGCCCGTGCTATTTCTGGCCTCTCTGGGACTCTTCTGACAGCGGATTCTTGTTTTCATTCTGATTCAGATGTGAAACTTTTCCCGCGGCCTCTCACCCGGTTCCTGTGGGCTGGGTCTCTGCCTCATCACTGCCTGCTTCCCCGGGCCAAGCCCCTCCCCAGGGTTGTCTCTGGCTAGTTGCTCAGTTCTTCTGGGACCTGGAGGAGGAAGCCAGGGGCTCAAGAGGGCGTTGTTCCCGCATAGGGGCCCTGGGCCCCCTCGCCCCGGGGTCAGCGCCTTGGAACTCTGCAGTAGGAAACTTGGATCCCCATGGCCAGCCGGGCTCCTGTTCAGAGGAGCCACCTGCAGGGCCCCATCCTCAGGTAGGTGCCAGGGTTGAGGACAGGGGAGGAGGAGGAGGAGGACAGGTTGCCTGAGGCTCCACCAGTTGTAATGTAGCACCAGGGAGGGTCAGGACCTGAGACAGGACCCTGTGTGTCTTGTGCACCTGCGTGCCACCTTCTCTGACCTCCCACTCCCTCCGTGTCGCCCCTCACCTTCTCCCTGTCCCCTTTTCATCCTGCTTGCCTGCCTGCCGACCATGGAAGGTGATGTAGCAGTGCCTCCCCTGCCCCCCTCTCTCCTAACCCAAGCATCCTGGGGACTTCCCATCCCTTTGAAATGTCCCCATCTTGTCTTAAGAACACAAGCTGGAGACAGAAGTCTTCTCTGAACTCCCAGTCCCTGCCTGGAGGCTGCGCTGTCCGAGTCGCCTAGTGGTCCTTCGGGGAGTGTTGGTGCTGGGAGAAGTGGCAGAGGGCAGTGGAAATCCCCAGACCGTAGCTCTGTGGTGAGCGCAGAAGTGAGCAGGTGGGGGCTGGGGACGCTGAGCTCCGCGGAGGTGCTGGGATTCTTCCTGCCAGGAGTCCTCCCAGCTGGCCGCCTGGAGCTAGGAGAGACCTGGGCCTTCCCCGGGGTGGGCAGGAGCTAAGGCGTTTCTCCATTGTGCGGGGACTGGAGGAAGAGGAGACAGAAGTGGTGTGGGGAGGGGGCAGGAGGGTTCCTGGGGTCCTGATGAGGCCCAGCCAGGGCTGAGCATCGCCCGTGGCACAGAAGGGGACCATTGCTGTGCCCTGTCCCCCCAGGGCTGAACTGCATGGGAACTGCTCGGGGTGGGAGGGAGAAGCACTTCCTGGAGAGGAGTATCCAGGTGATGGGTTGGGTGGGACTTCGGAGACCCTCACCCTGAAGCCTTGAGAGACGGAGAGGGGTCCCTGGAGGCCCGTGGTGCTGTGTGTGTGTGCGTACATGTATGTGTGTGGTGTGTGCTTGTGCACGTGTGGTATGTGTATGTGTGTGGCATATGTATGGGTGTGGTGTGTATATGTGTGTATGTATATGCATGTGTTGTGTGTGTAGTGTGTATGTGCACATGACATGTTTATGGGTATGTGTGTGATGTGTGTGTGATGTGTCGGTATGGGTGTGTGTGTGTGTGTGTATGTGTGATGTGTATATAGGGGCCGGATCTGGCTGCAGCACTGGCTCCTCTCAGCAGCCTCCCCTTGGACTTTTTGTTTGTCAGATTGATTCTTTTGTCTTTCTTTCCCTGCCTACCCCCTCTCTCCTGTGTCTGGATCCTGTTGCGTTGAGATTCCAACAGAAGCCATACCGGAGCTCCTGGACGGGGTCTGGGAGGGAGGGAGAGGTGTGCTGTGAGTCGGCCTACCCTGACCTCGCTCTTCTCTGCCTGCTGTGAGCTATGCAGAAACCCTGGCTCAGACATCGCAGGCTGTGCGCACACCTGATTAATTTGCCTCCTCTCCCTTTTATTTATTTAACGAACTCTTTCTGGGCGCTTCCTGTGTGCTCTGAGCATGGAGGCCAGGATAAACAAGTGGCCGTCAGCACCACCAGCACATTCCCAGTCTTCCCTGCGGGCCACGCACCACCAGCACTCCAGGAAGGTTGCCCTGTGTGGGGGCGGGGGGACTGGGGGAGCCTGTGGGGAGTGGGCTTCGGCCTCGCCACAGGCTCACTCCATTCATGGGCCTGCCCCGCTTCTACACCTGCCTCGTTGTGGGACACAATTGGGGTCCACGGGCGAGAGCTGTAGGCCTCGCTAACCTCAGGTGGACAGGACAAGTCACTTAAGCTCCCTTCATGAAGTGCTTGTGAGATGAGATGGTTGTAATTGTAAGCAGGAGGTCATGGCCATTGTCGCTCTCCCATTCCCTCCCTCCCTTCCTTTCCTAATTACCAGTGTGCTGGATTCAGTCTGTTCCACCTGGACTTGGGATAGCCAAAGCAGGTGCTTGTTGGATTTTTTTGTTTTAAAGATTTATTTATTTACTTGAAAGGCAGAGAGACAGAGACAGATAGCTTCCATCTGCTGGTTCGCTCGCAACAGCCAGGACAACACCATGCTGAGGCCATGAGCCAGGAACTCCATCCAGGCTTCCCATGTGGGTGGCAAGAACCCAAGTACTTGAACCATCACCTGCCGCCTCCCGGGTACTTCAGCAGGAAGCAGGATGGAAAGCTGGGGCGGGACTGGATTCCAGGCACGCTCATCGGATATGGGATGCGGGTGCCCCAAGTGGCGGCTTAACCTTCCATGCCCTGCGTGTTGGATCTGAGGGTGGTAGAGCTGGGTGGCATGAACATGATGCTGGCCAGTTAATTCCTTTGCAGACTTTATTTACAGCGACAGTTGAGTGTCCCAGGCATTTGGCACATATCCCTTCCCTTAATGCTCCTGTTAACAGCCCTGTGAGGTGGTTTATTGTCATCCGCACACTTTTACAGAGAAGCTGATTAAGGCTCTAAGATAAAAGTCCTCAACCTTTGGTGTGCATTAAGTTTGTTTGGGGTGTGTGTGCGGGATATTTAAAAGTGTAGATCCCTGGACCACACCCTCAGAGATTCTGCTTCTGCAGGTGTGCAATGAAGCCTATGATTTTTATTTTATTTTATTTTATTTTTTAAAAAGATTTATTTATTTGAATGAGTTACACAGAGAGAAGGTGAGGCAGAGAGAGAGAGAGGTCTTCCATCCACCAGCTCGATCCGAAGGTGGGAGCCAGGAGCCTCCTTTTGGTCTCCCACGCAGGTGCAGGGGCCTGAGGGTTTGAGCCATCTTCTACTGCTTTCCCAGGCCATAGTAGAGAGCTGGGTTGGAAGTGGAGCAGCCGGGACTCGAACTGATGCCCATATGGGATGCTGGCACTGCAGGCAGCGGCTTTACTCGCAATGCCACAGCACTGGCCCCCATTTATTTATTTGAGAGACAGAGTGCTCCCATCTGCTGTTTTGCTCCCCAACTGCTGCATCGCAAGGAGCCTGGGACTCAAGCCACGTCTCCCATGTGGGTGGCAGAGACCCAACTACTTAAGCTGTCATAGTTGCTGCCTTCCATGGTGCACCTTAGCAGGAAGCTGGAATCAGACTGGGGCTTGGTCGCTCTAGGATGGGATGTGGGTCGTACCCTGCATCTTCACTGCCGGCCGCACACCTGGCCCATCCATGTTAGCATGTGGCCAAGGTAATGGTGGCGGGCAGGCCACGTTGTAATAAACACGGATCCAGCATCAGTGACTTGCCCAAGGCCTCATGGCAGAGAGAGAGTTTTGAACCTGAGGTTGCTGCTGAGGGCGGCAGAGACTTGGTTTTTGCATTGGAAATGGGGTTACAGTTCTCCCCCTACCTCCCTCCTTGGCACGCCCATTGTGAGAATAAAATGAGACAATGTAGATTGTTACTTCTTAAAATGTGGAGCTGGCAGCATTGTTAGGGATTATGCAAATCCTGTGGGTGTGGCCATTCACTTTGGAATGTGTCTTTTAGGAGTGGGGAGAAATGTGGTGGGCATGGACCCCTGGGGGCAGAGAAAGGTTAGGGCTGGATGAGGATCTGGGGGAGAGGTGGGTTGGGTCCCCAGACTTGAGAGCCCACGAGACGTGGCTGTGCCTGGGTCCCAAAGGCTCAGTGTCACCCTCTTTGTTCTGTCTGTGATCTCTCGGTGGTGTTCTGGAAGATTCTGGCTGGTAGCTCCCCTGGCTCCTTGGCCTGGGAGGACTGTTTATAATGTCTACCTCTGTTGCTCCTCCCTCATGAAGCCAGAGCTGGGCTGTGCTTGCTGTCCTGTCTCTTAAATACTCTGCTGCGTCCACAGGGAAGCCGGCAGGAGGGGACCTGGGGGTGAGACTTGAGGGCAGCCCACCGCGCAGGCCGCAGCACCCCACTCCTCTGCCTCCCACTTGCTCTCAGCCCCCCCGGGCCAGGACTGCGGGCCGAGGTGAGGCTGCCTGCGGCTGGCTATTTTGGGAGGCCCTTACTCCGAAGAAGCCGAAGAAGCTGCAGAGACCCCAGGACTCCCCGAGCCTCTGCTGTTCGGGAATGCCATTGTTCTCGCTCCCCCCGGCAGCCTGGGAAACGATGCTAATTTCAGCCTCTGGTCCCTGACTCATTCTCTTCTCCTCCCTGACTCGGAGGGTGCCCTTGGGTTTCCGAAGCCCCTTTCCTGGGTTGGGGGGGCATTGTGATGGCTATGGTTTCACCCTGGTTTTGGGAGGGGTGGGGAAGGAGCGAGAGGGGGACCTTCAATTGCTCACTCTGAAGTCCGAGATCTGGACTCACCAGCCTTCCATGATGCCTTCGGTAGGTTGGTTCCTCACTGACCCTTGCCCCCCCAGACATCATAAGTGCGTTGCCCCTTGAGGCGGAGCAGTCAGCCAATGAGGTCCCTGGGCCTGCCTCCCCACTTCTGTCCTGGGAGAAGCCGCAGCTGGGGCAGACTCCATGCATCGTGACAGAAACTCTTTGCCAGAGGTCGCCTCTGGTGCAAGGCGGGGATGCGGGGGTTAATCCAGCTCTGTCCTGGTTGATGGATTCTGGAATCATAATCCATTAGCTCTGCATGCGTGGAGCGAGGCCAGGCGAGGGCATTCAGATGGGTCTTTGTTCTGAGCTTTTGCTGTCCCCGCTAGGGACAGAGGGGGTGTGGACTCCCACCCGCTCTGGGCCTTGACAATGAGAGAGTCCTCAGGCTACTCTGATGGCTGCTGGTGCAGAAACCTTCTCTTGGAGTGGGGTTGTGGGGGGTGGGGACAAGCAGTTTCAGATCATGATTATCCAGACTGGGAAACAGATCCCCCCACATCACCTGAGAGACTCATTCCTGCCTCATTCTGCCAGGCCCTGGCTGTTTCCAGCCAACCCTGACTTGGGGGTGGGGCAGTGGTGTTGAGAGGAGAGGGTGGGGTGGTGGCTGAGGCAGGATAGCCTGGGCTTACACTTTAGGGGTAGGTGAAGTGAGGTAGGCAGCGAGGTGAAAGACGGCTGCTCTTACGACTAGGAAGGTCGGAGTTGTGATTGCGGATGGGAGACGGGCGAGCCTCTGTGTGTGTGTGTGTGAGAGAGAGGCGTCTCCTAGCAGAGCAGAGGCTGTGGGACTGGGTGGCCGTGCCTGAGCTGGCTGTATGGCCCCGCTCCCCACAGGCTGCGCTACATGGTGAAGCAGCTGGAGAATGGCGAGGTGAACATCGAGGAGCTGAAGAAGAACCTGGAGTACACGGCTTCTCTGCTGGAGGCCGTCTATATCGATGAGACACGGTGAGGGGAGGCCACGAGGGGCCTGCAGAGGGCCGGGGGCGGGGCGGGCAGGTGCACAGGGCTGTGGACCGAGGTAGGGACAAGCAGAGGTGCAGACAGACGCAGAGGACAAGAGGGAGAGAAGGCTGTTCCCGCATCAGACCGTAAGTCTCATAGTGTGGAATACCGTTAAATGTATTGTAGTTTTGATCTGTTTCAGAGGGAGATATATATATATATATATATATATAGAGAGAGAGAGAGAGAGAGAGAGAGAGAGAAAGGATGTTCCCATCTGCTGGTTCACTCCCCAGTTTTCACAAATAGCCAAGACTGAGTTGGGTTGAACCTGGGAGCCAGGAGCTCCATACAGGTCCCCACGTGGGTGGCAGGTGTCCAGTTACTGCTGCCTTCCAGGCTGTGCCTTGCAGGAGGTTAAAGTCAGGAGCCAGAGGTGGGTCTCAGACCCGGGCACTCTGATGTGGACATCTTAGCTGCTAGGCCAGACACCTGCCCCAGCGTGGAGTCCTTGAAGCCCCCCGCCCGTGCGGGGACCTTGGATCCAAGCGGCTCCCGAGTGCTTGAGATATGCTGAGGGTGAGCTGCAATTTATATGTAAAAGACATGCTGGATCTCCAAGGCTTAGGAAACAGAAAAAGAATTATGCAATATGTCATTCAAATATTTTAGATTGACTCATGTTGAAATGATAATATTTTGGAGGTATTGGGTTAAATAAAATTTATTGTGAAAACAAATCTCACCTGTTTCTTTTTATCTTTTTATGGTAGTAACTAGCTAGTTTAAAATGTCACACATGTGACATGCAATTTCTTTCTACTGAACAGTGCTATTCTAGAGCACCCCTGACAGATGGCATCCCAATGCCTGCTTGAATCCCCTGATAGCTGGGGAGCCCACTAGCCCACATGGTGTGGCCTGTTCATTCCTGGGGATGGCAGACAGAGATGCAGAGACAGAGAGATTCAAGGAGGAGGGGCATGAGGGCTGCCGAGTGCAGGGTGCGGAGGGAGGCACCTGCTGTCTTTCCCCGGTGACTCTTCTGGGGCCGCAGGCAAATCCTGGACACGGAGGACGAGCTGCAGGAGCTGCGGTCAGATGCGGTGCCCTCAGAGGTGCGTGACTGGCTGGCGTCCACCTTCACGCAGCAGACCCGGGCCAAAGGCCGCCGGGCGGAGGAGAAGCCCAAGTTCCGTAGCATCGTGCACGCCGTGCAGGCCGGCATCTTCGTGGAAAGGTGAGGCCGGCCCGCGCTCAGCCCCTCCCTCCCAGCCCTAGGCCCTGTGGCCCTGGGGCCCCCGACTCGGCTGACCTTTCCCTTATGCCTGGCTCTCCCCGTTGTTCTCTCCTAGGATGTTCCGGAGAACGTACACCGCTGTGGGCCCCACCTACTCCACCGCCGTCCACAACTGTCTTAAGGTGACTCCTGTGTTGGCGGGCGAGAGGCAGGGTTAGGGACAGCAAGCTCTGCTTACGGCCTGACTTGTAACCTTTCTTCCCTGGGTCACACACCCCTGCCTCGGCTCCCCCATACCGCGAGGACTGTGGGAAGTGAGACGCTTGTCACCCCCCCCTCCCCCGCCCCGTCTTCCTGCTTCCTGTGTCCCTGCCATTGCTGGGAAGTCCTCCTTCAAGTCTGACTCCAACCCCGGCTACTGCAGTGGTGCTCTGGGAAGCGGGGACCTCCCCGCCTCATGTGTTGTTTCTCTGCAGAATCTGGACCTCTGGTGCTTTGACGTCTTCGCCCTGAACCGGGCAGCCGATGACCACGCCCTGAGGACCATTGTTTTCGAGTTGCTGACCCGGCACAACCTCATCAGCCGTTTCAAGGTGAGGTGCCTGTTCTGGAAGGTTCCACTGTTCTGGGAGGCTCCAGGTCAGGGCTGCCACCCCGTTCCACCTGCACTTGCTGCAGCCCTGGCCTCTGGCTTGGTTGATTGCTGACCTGCCACCGTGTAGCCTGGGGTCCTGCCTTCCTGGCACCCCAGCTTGCCTTGCCATTCAACCCATTCTCAGTTCTTTTGTCTCCTGCCCGTGGACCCCCGAGACCTGGAGTCTGCATATCGCTGGCTGGATGCTTTGGGACTGGGGTCTCTCCATTGTTTCCTGGGGACAGGAGAGGGGGAAAAAACTTGTCCCACCCTCCCCCAGCAGGGCTGGGAGAGAAGGTATGTGATTTCCCCTGCACCTTCAGCTTGGCTAGCTGGGAAGAATAACCTAGATTAAAATCTTTTTTTGTTTGTTTGTTTTTGAGATTTATTTATTTATTTGAGAGGTAGAGTTTTAGAGAGAGAAGTGAAGACTCCCCAAATGGCCGCAACGGCCGGAGCTGAGCTGATCTGAAACCAGGAGCCAGGAGCTTCTTCCGGGTGGGTGCAGGGGCCCAAGGACTTGAGCCATCCTCTGCTGCTTTCCCAGGCCATGGCAGAGAGCTGGATGGGAAGTGGAGCAGCCGGGACTAGAACTGGTGCCCATATGGGATGCCGGCACTGCAGGCAGAGGCTTAGCCACTATGCCACAGTGCGAGCCCTGGATTAAGGTCTTCTCCAGAGCCTGTGTGGGAGAGAGCCTCTTTGGGGAAGGAATAAGGGCCAGGAAGAAATTTCCATGAGGACAAAACACATTTAGAAGCGGGGTTAAGAGGGAGTCGGTGCCAGAGGTGGAGAGAAGCGTGTGTACTAGGGGCAGTGGAGAGCGACTGTCCCGGGAGGTGACCGCCTTAGGGAGCTTGGTCCCTCCATCCCGCCTGCACCTGCCCATCGCACACTGCGCATCCTGTGGGCCCGCCTGTGACCTTGACCCCTCCTCTTATAGCAGCTAAGGAGATGGCTCCCTCAAGGGGGCTGGATGCTTACCGGGGGTCCCCCCCCCAGGCCCCTGCTTCAGCGATGTCATTTCTCCCTTCCGGTCCTGCCCTCTCCAGAACACAGAGCAGCAGGGTCCCCCTTTCCTGAGACTTTCCCCAGCTCCTGTTTCTCCAGACTGGTTCTCGGGTCAAGTTCACACATCGGCTACTCCTAAACACTGCCTGCTCACCTGGCAGCGCGGGCCTTGGGGGACTGCACTGCCGTGGCTTTGGCCCTGGCCTGGGGCAGTTGGGGAAAGCGGGGTGCGTGTGCCTTTGGTCCCCTCTGGTGGTGGAGACCCAGCTGGTGGAGCCGCCTTTCTCAAGCTGCGAAAGCTCGTCTTCTGCTCCTCCCTTCTCCTTCCCTTCCCTTCAGGGACACCATGGCAACGCAAAAGCAAGGGCAGTTGTCATGGAAACAGTCCTTTAGATTCCCTGAATTTGGGGCACAGCCCTCCAGGGGTAGGGGTGGGGACGCAGGGTTTGCCCGGGTGGTAGCACGTCTCCCGTGTCTTCTGCCACTCTGTGGCTTTCTCTGAAGGCACTCCCTCAAGGCCTGAGCGGCAGCAGATCCAGGGGCAGGGGAAGACCCCCCTGGCCCTGCCCCCTGGGAGCCCCCAGGCTTCCCAAGGAGGCTGAGTTACCCCTAATACACAGAGATACGGTGGAGTTGAGAGCCCCTGGGTGGAGCACTGGCTATGGTCTGTGTGTGTGTGTGTGTGCGTGCGCACATGTGTGTGTGCTGTGCACCACATGTCAGTGCACGTGGGCGGGCCGTGGTCAGGGAAAGCTTCTTGGAGGAGAAGTTGATCCACGTGTGGCTGCAAGGGTCTGTGTGGCTGCCTGGTCACTCTTTCCCCTGCCTCTGAGTCCTTTTCCATGATACTAGAATTGGGGATGGGGCAGGGTAGTGGGAAGGTAGGAGGGAAGCTTTCTCCCCTTTTACTAAAAATCTCCAGGGAAATAATAATAATTATAGCTACTCTCGAGAGAGTACTTACTAAATGCCTTGTACTTATCTCATTAAATTCCAGGTAGGTGGTATTAGCTGCCTTCTGGAATTCGGTATCTGAGGCACAGGGAGGCACGTGACCTGCCCAAGGTCGCACAGCCAGCAGGTAGTGGAGCCGGGATGGGCGGCCAGGTCCACCTGGCTGTGGCGCCCAGGCTTTCTGCCTCCGCTGGGCAGCTGAGGTCAGCCTGGCCCTGGCTGGACGCAGCTGCAGCGCCTCTCTCTGCTGCAGATACCTACTGTGTTCCTGATGACTTTCCTGGACGCTCTGGAGACAGGCTACGGCAAGTACAAGAATCCCTACCACAACCAGATCCACGCAGCCGACGTCACCCAGACGGTCCACTGCTTCTTGCTCCGCACAGGGATGGTGGTAGGTGGCGCCCTGGACCTCGCTCTGCTGTGACGCAGCCCCTGGTGGTGGCAGGACGGACTCACTTTACAGAATTCCTGGGGGGGCCTGCACTTGATGGGCGGTGGGATACAGGGGGCGTGTTGCAGGCTGGGACGCAGGCACCTGGCTGCGTTCACCCAAGAGCTGGCCCTGGAGGTTGGTGGGAGGGGGCGCTGGTGGTGCAGCCTGGCTGTGGTCTCTGGGCGGCGACTGGCCCGCGCGTGTCGGCTGTCTCTCAGGCCGTCTGTGTCTGCCCAGCACTGCCTGTCGGAGATCGAGGTCTTGGCCATCGTCTTCGCCGCAGCCATCCATGACTATGAGCACACGGGCACCACCAACAGCTTCCACATCCAGACCAAGTGAGGCTGGCGACGTGGCAGGGGCAGGAGGAGGGGCCGGGGTGGGGGCAGTGGGGTGCGGTTGCTGGCATCCCTCCTCGCAGGGTGCTGGACGTGGCTGCCTCTGGCTGTACAGGTCGGAGTGCGCCATCTTGTACAACGACCGCTCGGTGCTGGAGAACCACCACATCAGCTCGGTCTTCCGCATGATGCAGGATGACGAGATGAACATTTTCATCAACCTCACCAAGGACGAGTTTGCGTAAGCAGAGCCTGCCCCGGGGGTGTCCCTCACACAGCCTCCCCTAGTCCTTCTGGCCTCGTGGCACACGGCCACTGAGCACGCCTGCCTTGGTCTCTCCAGGGAGCTGCGGGCCCTGGTCATCGAGATGGTGCTGGCCACCGACATGTCCTGCCATTTCCAGCAAGTGAAGTCCATGAAGACCGCGCTGCAGCAGCTGGAGAGGTGGCGTGGGGCGGGGCGGGGTGGGGCTGGCGGGAGGGTGTGTGAATGGGGCGAGGGGAGTATGGAGGGGAGTTGGGGACCTGTCCTGGCTCCAGGTATCCAAGTGTGTGTGTGTGTGTGTGTGTGTGAGTGTGGCCCCTGGGTGTACAGACAGCACAGCATCTGGAGAGGGCTTGGGGCTGGGGGACAGGGTGGATTCTGTCACGTCTTCAGGATGGGCTGCCTGTGAAATCTGGGGGCCATTTATTCAGTGCCCCCATGCCCTGGGGCTGCAGCACCCTTCTCTGTGAACAGGTGAGCCCCCCTCCACTGCAGCCCAAACCCCCACCCCCACTTTTCTGCTGGAGAGCCCTGTTGTGAGAGTCACTGCAAAGCGGGGCCAGAGCCGGTGCCACGGGGTATCCGAATGGATGAGAGGGAGAGCGGGCTGTGTGCGCCTGCGCGGCCCCTCTGGATGTGAGTCTGTGTATGGGATGTGTGCGGTGTCTTGGCGGGGTCGTTGTCGGGGGCATGATTCTGAATGACACCTGCCGAGCGCTTATTATGAGCTACGCGCTCTTCCAAATACTCACTTGTTGGGCACCATTTATTTCTCGGAGTCGAGCCGCTGATTTCCATGGGAGGGTTGAGGGACAGGAAGTGTGCAGATTGAAATGGCGGCTGCTGAGCGGTAGGTATGGTGCAGGTTTGAAGCAAGATCCTCGGATGCTGGGATCCCAGGGTTCCTCCTGGCTACCGCCCTGCACAGCTGCTTCTACACACAAGGGTGCTTCAGAAAGTTCATGGGAATGGGATGAAAAGATTAAATTTATTTTGGTGCAAAGGAAGTTGAAAGTGTTTGTCATAGTGTGCACTCATCATGAACGCTTTGATGATCTCTCATATGCATGGGTTTCAAGTATTTTGTGTGTGTGTGTGTGTGCACCAAAATAAGTTTATCTTTCAATTCCATTTCTGTGGTCATTTGGAAGTGCCTCATGTGCGTGTGCGTGTGCGTGTTGAAGACGGGTGAGAGGATGTGCAGGAATGGGTTTGAGATGGGAATCGGTCGAAGCCTCCTTTCCCTACAAGTCCAGGCTCCCTCTCTTTTGCCCCCTGCCCTCACCAGAATCGACAAGTCCAAGGCTCTGTCCCTCCTGCTGCATGCCGCCGATATCAGCCACCCCACCAAGCAGTGGGCAGTGCACAGCCGCTGGACCAAGGCGCTCATGGAGGAATTCTTCCGCCAGGTACGGAGGCGTCTCGCCCACCCCCTGCCCCTGTTGCTCTCCAAGTTCCCTACTCCTATGCCAGATCATTCTGCTACCTCCCCCTTCTGACATGATCCCAAATACGGGGGGATAAAAATCTCATTATCCTAACAGCCCCGCGGTGGTCACCGATAGCTGTATTCCATTCCATTGCCTGTCATTCATTTCCAGGTCAGCAGTGAGGAATTTCCTGTCCTCTACCCCTGCCCAGCCACTGTCCCCTCCCCTCCCCAGCTGCACCCAGGGTCTCAGGTGTCGGCTGCATCCAGTGTCCCCCACTTCCCTCTTCCTCAGGGTGACAAGGAGGCGGAGCTGGGCCTGCCCTTCTCTCCACTCTGTGATCGCACCTCCACTCTGGTGGCCCAGTCCCAGATTGGTGAGTGTTCCGCCCTGCAGGGCAGACAAGATGGGGGAGGCACAGGGATGCTTCCTGGGCCACCCTGTGTGGGGGAAGGCCTGCGTGCTGGGGCCAGGAGGCCAGGGGCTGCTAGTAGTGGGAGAGGGCCTCTGGGCCCGTGCCCACTGAGAAGCTGCCAGTCCAGGTGACCTCTCTGTGCAGCTGGGGGTGTTGGGGGGGCTGGCCCTCCATCAAACTGCCCTCTGCCCCGCAGGTTTCATTGACTTCATAGTGGAGCCCACGTTCTCCGTGCTCACCGATGTGGCCGAGAAGAGCGTGCAGCCCCTGGTGGATGAGGACTCCAAGTCTAAGAACCAGCCCAGGTGAGGATGGCAGGGGGCGCCATGTCTCCTGGTTCTGGGCCCTACGGGGAGAGGGTGTGTGTGTGTCTGCCACTGGGTGTGGCCGCGGCGGAGGCCGTGGGAGTCCCCTGTGCTGCTTGTCACCAGGATGGAGCCCGGAGGGGGTGGCCTGCACCTGTGCTGCCCTCCGCTGTGACTGTTCTTCCTTCGGCTCTTTCTGCATTGCCTTTTGGCCAACCTTGTTTTTATTTCTGTTCTGCCTGGAGAGAAGATGTGGAGGAGTGCACGTGTGTGTGTGTGGGGGGGGGGTGGGCAGGGACTTGGGGTGTGTGCAGTAGAAGGAAGAGAGGCCTGGGCTCTGTAGAGCTCCTCACGGCCTCCCTGTCCCCTCCACACTGAGGTCTGGGGCAGTTCTGGGGTGGGCTGGCTCTCATCACTGGATGGGGGCGGGGGGCTTGCTTTCAGCTTCCAGTGGCGCCAGCCTTCTCTGGATGTGGACGTGGGGGACCCCAACCCTGACGTGGTCAGCTTCCGCTCCACCTGGACCAAATACATTCAGGAGAACAAGCAGAAGTGGAAGGAACGGGCAGCGAGCGGTGGGTGCCGTGGGGGCGGGGTGGGGAGACTCCCTGGGGGCAGCCAGTGGGACAGCAGGCAGGTCCGTTTTCCTTAAGCCCCCGGAGCAGCTCTTGGACTTTGGGAATTGGGACTACAAGCAATCAAACTCGTTAGATCCCAGGAAAGACGAAACTGGCTAATGGGTGCGGGAAAGAAGGCAGTGGCAGCCGTTACATTCCACAACCCAGGGGCCAGGCGTGTTGTGGTCTCTGCACATGGGTCCCAGGACACCTGGGGCTCGAATGGCCCTCGAGTGGGGCTGGAGGGTTGTGAGTCTCAGTGAGGCCCGAAAGGCTGTCCTAGGTGGGGATTGGTTGAATGTAGCCCAGCGAACGGGGCAGCGGTGGTCCAGCCTTGGCTGCCTGTACGCCCCCTGCAGGTGTCACCAACCAGATGTCCATTGACGAGCTGTCCCCCTGTGAAGAAGAGGCCCCGCCCTCACCTGCTGAGGATGAACACAACCAGAATGGAAATCTGGACTAGCCCTGGGGCTGGCCCGGGTGAGCCTGGGGTACAGGAGGGAGCTGGGGGTTCCACACGGCATCAGCCGTCAGCTGTCTGGTGCGGGGGAGGTTTGTGGACGTGAGGTCCGAGGGAGTGCTGGTGGAGAACTGAGTCAGGGCGTGGGCGGGAGCAGGCCCCCCCCCCCCGCCACTCTGTCCCCCAGCCCCTGCGGCAGGAATGAAGGAGGCCATGCCCTGCCCTGGGAGCCGGAGGGTGGGGTCTATGCCTGCTGCACCTCTCTGCGCAGCCCCTGTTGAGGGCCACAGAGAAGAGGTGCCGACCTTGATGCCAGGCCTGGGGAGATGGGTGATTTCCCCTTGGAGGGTCACCTGGCAGGGCTCAGACAGCAGACCAGCCTGCAGGTGAAGGCAGCGGCCAGGGCGCTGAGGCCTCCCCGTCTCTCCCCAGGTCCTCCCGAGTCCAGAGTATTCGATGTCATCAGCACCATCCATCAGGACATCTGCTCCAAGGGGCCGCCCGCCCGGAGGCCACGTGCCAGAGATCTTGGGTTGGGGGAGGGCCCCTCCACCTGCCACCCACTGGGTCCCACTTTAATCTCTGGGCGGCAGGACTGAGCAAGCCCAGGCTCCCAGTGGTCACTGTGTCCATCCCCCTGCCTCTGGACTCCCCCCATGGCCTTGGCTGTCTGGGAGCTGGGGAGCCTCCTGGGGGGAGGGTCAGAGCTGCCAGCCCCCGGGCCCTCCCCCATCCTTTTTGCCTCCAAGTTTCTAAGCAATACACATCGGGGGTTCCCTCCGCCCGCACCCCCACCCCAGATCTTAGCTGGCAGGTCTGGGGCCCCCTTCTCCTCCCCCTGGGAAGGGCTGAAGTAGGGTAGAAAGCTGGGCTCCCCCCTCCCCCCACGTGTGGGAAGGGGAGTGGCTTCCTCCGGGGCATAGTTCCTTTCTGGGCCCCTGGGAGTAGGCTGGGGGCAGCCTCGGCGCCCGCACCTGCACTGCTTCAGCCCCGGGCCCAGCCTGACTCCCTGCCAACATCCCTCCCTCTCTCCCATTCTGCCGCAGGGACTCGGGGCAGGGGAGCCACGAGGGCCAGGGTGGAAGGATTGGGCTGGGCCCCGGGCCGAGCCCTCCGCCCCCTTCCTCCCCCTTCCTCCCCAACTCCGGGTGTGGGGGGGACTCGGAGGCTCCCATCCGACCAATGTCTGTAAAAGGGGCGGGGCGTCTTCAGGAAGCGTCTTAGAGCTCTGGCTGGAGAGAGCTGGGTGGGGGGCGATTGAGGCGTGGCCCCGGAACCCTGTGCAGTCTCCCGCACCACGAGGCCCTCCCCCTGGGGAGGGGCGTGTGCTAGGCGGATGGGAAGGGGCTCCAGGCGGCAGCTGTCAGGTCGTCTCATGCCCCTTCCCCTCCCAAGGCTCCTCCCGCCCCCTGCCCCAGGTGACCGCCCTCCTCCGCCCGTGTACATAACGAGCCATGCATTTGTACCGTGGGCCCCGTGCGTGTGAGCTCCGCATCCGCGGTCTCTGAGACCCGCCACCCCAGTACTCGCCCCTGACGCATGTGACTCACGCCCGTCCCGGTCTCCCACGCCCCTTCTATAGCCAGAGATCAATAAAGAAGGGAGACCAGGCCGTGCCTGTGTCGGGTGTTCACTGGGTGAAGTCGGCCGAGCCCCCGTTGCACGCACTAAGCTCTCAGGCTCCGGAAGATCCTGGCAAGCTGAGGCCCACCGAGAGCTCGCCCTGCCCCAGGCCACGCGACGGGCGTGGGGCGTGGCCCAGGTGCGACCCTGCGCCTGTCTGGCTCTGCTCTTTGTTCTCTGTGGCGTCGCCTCCCTTCCCATCTGCCCTCCACTACCTGGCACATTCTAAACAGCGGCAGGAGAGACCTGGGTCTGGGATGGGAGGAAGGGCCCCTTGCTTTGCGCCCCTCTCTGGGTAGGAAAAGGGAAAGAGCACCCTTGCAGCTCCCAGCCAGCGCCTCTTGGATAGAGCTGGAATGAAGGAGCTGGAGGAAGAAACCCATCCATAAAGAAGGCGGGAGGGGCTGCGAGGGCAGTCAAGGGGGCACCCACCCATCTCGGTATCACGGCTCCCGAGGGCCATGTCCAGGTGCAGTTCCCCACTTTGGCCAGCAGGCGGCACACACGGCACAGTTAACAGCTTTCAGTTGTCAGGTGCAGGGCAGCCCGGGCAGATGGTGGCGCCTGTCTTTACTAGAAAAAGAACTCCTTCCACCTGCCTGGCCCCCCCCTCTATCTGCAGCGAGCTGCGCAGGTTTCTGCCCCCACCCCAGGCGGCCGGGCTGGAGGGAAGAGTCTCTAGGTCCGGAAAAAAGGAAAGTGCCAAGGACCTAACACCAAATTTATCACTTTTTAAAAACAAGAGATTTTTTTTCTCCAAAAGTGAGGAAATAAGAAACAAATCCAGTGTCCATGCATCCCCCAACCGCGGCCTTGATTCCAGGACACCTCCTCCTCTCTCAGACCTGTGGTTAGGGAGGAGGCAGAAAGAGAAGGTTGAAGCTAAAGCCGGCTGGTCCCCTTGCGCATGCGCGCTGATTTGCCCACCCGCCACCTGCCCAGCACCCGGTGTCGCGGGACACGGGCCCCTGCCCGTTTCTAGTCTATGCAGGGGCAGCAAGGATTCTCAGGAGGGCCTCTCACCAATGTCCCTCTTGCCATCCTGGCCCTGGGAAAGGCGAGGAGCACCCTTTGGCAGTCAACGCCCATTATCCCCAAATCGGTTTTGGTCACCTGTTCCTCACTGCGGGGGTCAGAGGTCCGACATGGAGTCTGACCTCACTCCCTCGTGCTGCAGCTTAGTCCCATTTCGCTGTGGGCCCATCCGAGGAGACCCAAGTCCTCTTACCCGAGAGGATAAGTTCTCGGTGACAGAAATGAGTTCCCTTTCTCTGATGCCAAAGACCCCCCCACCCCACCCTCCGGCCCCTTGCCCTTAAGCACACGGCCTATTCTGCGGGCCGGGCGGCCCAGCCCCGGGGCCTCCTTACCGCGCTGGCTCCCTGGGAGTCTTGCGATGTTTTAGCGGTGGAGGGTTCCTCGCCACGCCTCTCCTGAGCTCTGGGGCTGGGCTGTGCAGGCTCTGGGGAGGGAGAGGTGGCATTTGTGGGGGAACTTGGAGAGGGCAGAGCCCTGCTCACTGCGTCCTGAGCTGCGAGGAGCCGGGAGAGGGGCCCAGGACCTGCAGTGCCTTCTCTGATCACCACGGCTACTTTAGGCTCACTGCTGTTTCTTAATAATCTGCCATCAGCAAAATCGCAAAAACAACAGGAAACACAGAAGCCACCCAAAACAAACCTCTACAGAATGTTAGGAAGAGTTGGAGCAGACACTCAATGTGGGCCTGAACTGATAGGAGACTACTACTACTTTGGTCTTTATCCCACCCATGCCAGCATACTTTGCACTGCATTGCAGAAATAGTAATGTGCTGGGTTGTGGGTGCCCTGCGCGGAGTTCTGTGTAACAGCATAGGCACTGTATCACCTTCATGCTGTTGGCAAACTCCTGGCTTCTGGAATACAGCTAGAATAAGGACTGTGGACCCATTAGCACCACGCCTACTGCAAGGCTTGTGGCCTGTGCATTTCAGGGGCTGTGCTACAGTTTCATTTAATAGTCACGCACCACCCAGTGGACAGCAGCACCTCAGCGGCACCTTCTCTTTTATACACTGAGCTCTGCTCTGGGCAGAGGAGGTGCTGAGTGACACATTTAGGGTTCTAGCTTCCCTGACACAGCCCCCATGGGGGGCCTCGGGGGTCCAAGGTGGGAGGGGGTGGGGTTAGAAAGGAAAGGTGAGGACTGGAGTACATGTAGATGCATCCCCAGCCTTGAGCCCTGGCCCTCGCCCTCCCCAGTGCGCAAGGCTTGCTTCCTGCTGGGCTGGGGGAAATGGTTTGCCTGGGGCCCGCACATACTTTGTGCTGTCGCCGAGGGGCCCAGCCTGGACTCGGCTCCTGTGCCTGGGGTCCCAGGTGGCTGGCACTCCTGGGCCCCTGTGCTCTCGGCGGCTCCTTCGGGCTCCTCTCCTTGCTCTTGTTGCCCTAGGTGGTGTTCAACCATCATCTGGAGCTCTGGAGGCACAGAGAGGGGGAGGCGACAGTGGACACAGCTGCCTGGGGTCCCCTTGAACTCAGCAGCCTCCCCGAGGGCACTGAGATCTGAACAAGGAGAGCACCGAGCTGGGCAATAAGGAGGCACCAAAGCTAGACCACAAGAAGGGCTTCTGTCAGGGCAGCAGGTGAAGCCCCTGCGTGTGAGGCCGGCATCCCGTATCAGAGAGCCGCTTTGAGTCCTGGATACTCTGCTTCCCACCCAGCTTCCTGCTAATGTGCCTGGGAACACGGCAGAAGACGGCCCACATGCTTGGGCTCCTGTCACTCATGGGAGACACCTGGATGGAGTTCTGCAGCTCCTGGCTCCTGGCTTCAGTCTGGCCCAGCCCTGGCTGTCATGGCCATTTGAGGAGTGAACCAGCAGATGGAAGATCTTCCGTCTCTCTCTCTGTTGCTCTGCCTTTCAAATAACTAAGTAAATACACCTTAAAAAGTACTTCCTCCAAAGGTTGGGGGCGCTGGTGTGGTACAGTGGGTTGAGCTGCTGCCTACAACGCCAGCAACCTATAGGGGCGCGGGTTCGAGTCCTGACTGCTCTGCTTCCAGTCCAGCTCCCAGCTGATGCACTGGGAAAGCAGCAGAAGATGGCCCAAGTGCTAGGGCCCCTGCCACCCACATGGGAGACCTGGGTGGAGTCCAGGTTTGGCCTGGCCCAAGCTTGGCCATTGCAGCCCTTTGGGGAGTGAACCAGCAGGTGGATGATCTTGTCTCCCTGTCTCTGCCTCTCTCTCAGTCACTTTGCCTTTCAAATAAAATCATTCTAAAAAAAAAAAAAAACCAACCAAACAAACAAAAAAAGATACTGGGCTTGCCGGGACACAGGGTGTCCTCTAAGGGAAGGAAAAAGACTCCGGCAGCCTTTGCGTAGCTGCTATGAGCTGCACGCTGCGCTGCGGAGTCGCCAGTGTTTTTCATTTTTCTGCCATCTTCGAGGTTCATGTTCAGGCAGTTTCTCCGGTCAGCGGCAGCACTCGTTCATCTAGCATGAGCTCCGCTGTGACAAAGGCAGAGGCAGACCTGAGGGACGCCCCCCCAGGACCCCTTCCAAACGGGCCCTCGGGGCAGGGGGCGAACCTTTCATGGTGGGTGTGGTCCTTGTCATCTTCTTCCGTTGCCGAGGAGACATTGCCAGACTGGGCTGTGAAGAACATGGAGCACAGATGGGTGCCAGCCCTCCTCGCCCTCCTCCCCTGCCATGCCTCGATGCTGGATTGGAGGCTGGGAACAGGTCGGGGGGCTTCAGCAAGGGGGAACAAAGAATTCCTGCTACCCCAGCCACCTGCTTGGTGGTATAGGGAGGGGTGTGTGTGTGTGTGTGTGTGTGCAGGTCCACCCATCCACCTGTTGGGATGCAGGGTTTTGAGGACTTGCCCTCTCACCCCAATGAGTTGTGGGTCCCTTGGGCTGAGCCGAGTGGAAGGGGCCAGCTCACCTTGAGAAGTGGGTTGGGGATCCTGTCTTCATCGACCTCTGAGGGGGACAGGGAAAGGAGAAGGTGATAAGGACAGGAGACCCAGGGGACTCCACAGAGCTGACTTGCCAAGGTGGGGAAGCTCTGCAGTCTGGAGTCCCTTACCTCCACCTCCAGGAAGCTGGCCCTGATGCCTGCCCCAGGCCTTCTCCCTCTAGTTCCCCTCCTGCTCTGCTGGCTAGCTCTGATCCATGCCCCTAGTGTTGTCCTTGACCACGAGGTCAGTCGGAGACTCCATTTTTGCCTCAGCCCCAGAGGTCCCTGAGAGCAGGGTCTGTGGCTTTTCCAGCTGCGCTCTCCCTCTCCAGGTCTCTTCCCCACCCCTGGGCCCTGTACAGTAGGCGGCTCTGAGAGACGACAGCAAATTCATTCTGTGCAGGGGCCAGAGAGGCTCTGGCATTCCCGGGAGGTGGAGCCCCCTGCCCCCGGCTTCTAGTCCAGCTCACTGGCCCGGCCAGCCTTGCTCCGCCCCGGCAGCCGCCCTCCATGGTCTCCGAGCCCTTCACGAGGACACGGGCGACCAGCATCCCAGCTGCTCCCGGGGCTGTTTCTAACCTCCCCTGTCCCCTCTGGGGGCCGCCAAGCGAGCTGGTGGAGGCGGGCCCTCCCCCTCACAGCTGTCACTGCCTCTGGGGGTGGGGGCAGCAGTGCTGGAGAAACCTGGGAGGCTGTTGCCACAGCAACCGGCACTCCGATGACCACCGAACTCCTGGGGGTTAGGACTCGGGTGGTCTCTCTGGCTTCCTGGCACTGCTCTGTCTTGCCAACCGCAGGAGGAGATCTTGCTACTGTAGCCACCACTCGTTGGCTTTTAGCATCCTGAGGCCCTGCTCTCTGGATACCCGGCACCCTGCTTCTCCCACCGGCACCAGCAGCTGTCTGCTTTGGGCCCCCAGTCCCATCAGTGATCCGTTCCTGGGTTACCTGGGGAAGACTGGTCACTGGTCAGCACGAGGGTGGCAGGGGTAGGGCGGCGCCTCCGAATCTGGGGGGGGGAGGTGGGGAAGCGGGAAGAGGTCAAGGACAGGTGGGACCATGAAAGCTCTGCCCCTTAACATACCTCAGAAAAACTCACAGTGCCCTGGACCCACTGTGCCCATCCCCCTCCCTGGGGGGAGCCGCTCCCAAGCACCCAAAGCCCACGGGTCTCACACTCGCCCCCTTGCCCCGTCTTGCCACTCCATCTTAGTGGCCAAATCTGCTCTAGTGCATCGATCTCTGGCCAGCAGTCCTTCCGTCCATCCTGGATCAATGGTCAGAAATAACCCGGGGAGGGTCCAGGCCTTTCCCTTGGCTCTCAGCCACTCCCACCCCAAGAAGACGTTAACCCTCGGCGGGCCAACAGCATCCCTCCGAGCCCCTCCCTTCCCCTCAGTCCTTGAATGCAGCCTGTTTCTGATCCGCCAGCAGATCTACAACACAGGGAGGAGCCCCAGCTAGGACCCGGGTCAGGCCCTAAAGTTGAGCTGGAAACTCTTACGCTGAGTTTTGAGGTCTCCTTCTAAGACATTAACACACAAAGCTGGTGCACTGTTGGACCCCCGGAGCGCCCCCTCCCCTGCCGCTGTTCTTCTGTCACACTGCCAATACAGTCAATTGTCGTTGAAGTCAGCCCAAGGACTCCTGGGACATGTAGTTTTCCCCTTTCTCTGGACTCTTCAGAGCCTTGGAAATGAGTGGAACGAAGGGGGTTGGAGTCTAGGCGGCAGATCCCTCCAGGGGGGCAGCGAGGAGGAAGACCAACAACACTGAAGGATCAAATCCCCCTGCTTTGCGGCTGGCTTACTCGGCATCAAAGCCACTGGCAGTGTGGGGTGGGGGTTGTAAAACACGGCCCTCCTCTACGCCCAGTGGTGCCAGCAAGGGAAGGAGGGCTGTGTAAGCCTGAGTGAGGGGGGCTCTCCCCAAAGAAGAAGCAGGGGCTCCCAATGGGGCTGGTGGGAGTGGGGCACTGTTTCCCAGGAGCCTTGAGTGGCATCTGTTTTTGGTGACATTTCAAGGTCCCTAGTAGTAGCGGTCCTCTGTGTGTGTATGTGTGTGTGTGTGTGTGTGTGTGCGCGTGCACGCACTGCTCAGACATTAACCGTGGATTGTCTCTGCCCATTCCTGGGCTATCCGTGCAAAGGGGGTAGAGCCCTCTTTTTACTAGGAGAAACTCTTCCTCCCTGCAGGGAGGGCAGAAGAGTGGAAGAGGCAGGGGGAGAAGTGGTGGGGGTGGCTGGGTTGAGATGGCCATCCACGCGGGGAGAAGAGCCTGCCAACGTGGCGGCCTGAGAGGGTGGCGGGGCTCTGCGACCCTGGACAGGCCCCTCCCTTATCCTATTTCCTTGCCTTGGACAAGGTTTCTAATCTCTCGGAATCCTGGAGACCGTGACAGCCTACAGCGGAAGGCAGGGAGGTCACACTTGCTGGGGCGGGCTCCTCCCAGGCCTCTTCACCTCGCACCTTTCTCGATTCTGGCTCTCAAGGTCACGCGGTGCCTTTGCTTCTCCAGTCAGGCCGAGGACCTGGGGGCTGGGTCCTCCCTCGCCCCCCGCCACTCTGTGCTCTGTAGCCCAGAGCGTCCAACTCCTTTGGCTGCCCCATGCAGGGCTGGGTTAGGGGTTTCTGCCAAGCCTGGAACTTTCTGCCTATACACTTGGTGACGCAGCAGGAGGGGCTGAGGTTAGACTGCAGGTAGAATTTCAGGCCGTGGAGACACAGATTTCTGAAGATCTCAGTAAGCCAGGTCTGCGTCCCAGCAATCTGGCCCTGTCTTGCTCCTTGGCACTGCCCTACACTCCTCCCTTGTCCCCCAAATCCCTAAACCAGTTGCCCCTCCCCCACCACCAACCCACACCTACTCCACCTGCCTCCTCCAACAGCAAACAGAAGCAGGTGTCAGGCCCTGTCTGGGCCAGTGAGAGGCATTTGGAACCTCCCTTCCCACCCCCCCGCAGCCCAACTTTTGGGCCTTCTTCTGGGGTGTGAGGTCATTGTAGCCAGTCCCCTGCCTCCAAGCATAACAGCTTTCCCCTTGACCCCAAGGGAACGCTTGGTGCTAGAAGCTCTCACCATCTTCCTCATTCTCAGGAGGCTTGTGTATCTGCATCTGGCCCCTCCCACAGTCACACCTTAGAGGCTGCAGGTGCCACTCACCTCAGGCCGGGGAGGGTAGAGACCCAGGAGTTGTGGGGTGTGCACCTGCCCTTTCCCATCATCCACAGCTGAGTCTGCCACACAGCTGGAGTAGCAACCACAGAGGCCCTCTCCCAGCCCACCTCAACAAGAGGGCTTGCCGGTTTTTCTCTGGGGGTGTGGGGGGGTGTTGCAGCACAGCCAGGGCCTGGCAGCTATTGGGGGAAGCAGAGAGCTGACCTTGTGGGAATGGGATGTTCTAGGGATGGGTGTCTAGGCAGGTGGGCAGAGAATACAGAGAGATGGAGCAATGGGCGAATACGGAGGCATTTGGCAAACAGGCAGTAGTAAGGACCACGGGTGGCCGCCCTCTCCACACACGCTCACTGCTCACTCTCTCGCTGAGACACGCACTTGCTCACAGCTCAGACACTGCCGCTCTGCCAGGCTGCTGAGCTAAAAATAGGCCAGGCCAGGAGGCTGGGCCAGGGCCCTGGACTCCCACCTCTTGAGCGGGGCTGTCACTATGTCTCTCCCTTTGCTGTGGCCCAGCTGGGACCCCCATCTCTAGAAAGCCCCCATCTCTGGCCTCTGAACACCACTCACTCCATCCCATCCCACTCCAGCATCCAAAGGGCAGGAGCCGGGACTCTGGACCCACGTGTCCAGACTCACAGGAGAAGGAACCTCAGCCTACAGACCCGGGCAGCCCCCTCCCGCAAAGCTGCAGGCCTCTGGGCGGCCCTCCTCAGCCCCTCCCCATAGCCAACACTCTCCGGAGCCTGCAAGGTGTGCCTCCAGGTAGGAGGGGACAGGGAGAGCTGCTTTTCCAACTCCCACCCTACCCGCCCGCGCCCTCCCTCACCGACCCCCTCCCTGCCCCCGAGCTGCCACCAACCTCAGAAACTCTGGCGGGGGCTGACTGGGTGGGGGAGGCAAGACGGGTAAAGGGGGAGGGGTCGTGTCCTCGGGCAGGACCCCTCCCCCAGGGCTGGGGCGTGGGGAGTGACTCCCGCGGGGACAGGCAGCGGGTGGAGGCGCTCCTCCTGCGGTCCGTCTCAAGGCACAGATGGGCAGATGTGGCTCCGGCGGTGGGGGAGGGGACGGAAGACCCCCAAAGGAGCGCGTTCGTCCTCAAAGGGGCGCGCTGCTACCGCCAAGACTAGGCAGGGATCCTGGGTGCCCCCGGCCCAGCGGTCCCCCGGCCTCCGCTGGGCGAGTCCCCTGCCGCCCCGCCCTGCTCCGCACCTGCTCCGCCGCCTCGGGGTCAAGGTGCGGCTCCAGCAGCGGGACCGTGAACTGGATCTTCCGGGGACTGTTGTCTTGCTCCATGGCTGGGGCGGCGGCCGCTGCGCCCGCGCTGCGGCGGCGGGGGGAAAGGCGGAGGGACTCGGGGCTGGGGCGGGCGCGCTCCCTTCTCCGCTCCGCTCCGGCCCCGGCCCCAGCCCGGCGCGCTCGGCTCCCGGCTCCCGGCTCAGCGCTCCCAGCTCGCGGCTTCGGGGACTCTGTGGCTGCCGATTGGCTCCGCACCCGCCCCTCCCGGCCCCCTCCCCCTCCCCCAGCCCGGAGCCTTAACCCCGTCGTGGCTGCGCCCGCGGCTGCGGGGGTCACCGCCCCGCGGGCGGGTGCGAAGGCCCGGGCGTGGCCGGGTGGCAGTCTGAGTGGACTGTGCCGGCGGACAGCCGGCTCTCCTCGAAGTTCTCGCCAGGGAGTAGAGGTGGAGAGCGGCTGCGAGGAACTTTTCCAAGCTGGGGCAGGTCTGGGGGACTGGGAAGGTAGGTGGAGGGGCGCTGCGGGAGAGGAGGCGCAAACCCCAGAGAAAGAATTCGTGTAAGGTCTTCCAGGGGGGTGTCTCCCAGAGAAAAGGCCTGAAGGGGGATTTGGGCGTGCAGTAGCGGGGTCTAGGGTTAGATTCGGAGAGGACACACTGGTGGAGGTGAAAACCCGGAGGGGAGCTGAGTCCGGGGCGGGGAGGGGTTGGGTAGGGGCGTCTCTCTGGACTAGCCCTTGCGGGGGTGGTGGTGCGGGGCTTGGAGAGAGAGAGGCTCATGTGGGACTGGGCAGACACAGCATAGGATGGACAGCCAACAATGCTTGTGAAATAGATTCCACTTTCTGCGTGCTAAATTATAGGGATTGGAAACTAGGTGAAAGGCCTTTCCATGGGGTGGCTTGTTTACTGATGGGCTGGGTTTCCACTTTCACCCTGGGCCTCGGTGGAAATGATCTGTGATTGAAGGGGTGCAAGTTAGACCACGTGAAGAACTTACTTGTTTGGGGGAGAGCCCAGGCGTCCATCAATATCATGGAGTGAGGGAGCCAGGGCATTCAGGGAATCGCTGGGCAGAGGGAGGTGGGTGCTGGGTCTAGGACAGCGGCAGGGCTGGCTGGCCACCTCTTTGTTGGGGGCAGGCAGGGGGTGGGGAGAGGTACCGGGAGTGCTGAGTGGCCTAGGCTGGGCCAGGGGAATCTGTTTCTTTTGGATCTTAAGCCAAGCATGAGTTCCCTGCAGGTTTCTGTCTGCTTCTCTGGGGCTCTTAGGATCATCTTCAACTCCCAGTTGCCTCCTCTTCTGGGCAGCCCTTCCCTGGCCTGGATTGCACGCGGCCCCTTCCCCTCCTACCTCCCAAAATAACCTCTCTTGCCCTCCCCCCTGGCCATATCCCTTTACATCTGCTGGGCTCAGTTTTCTCTGGGCCAGGCTGGGTTAGAGGGACCCAGGAGCCCTCGCCTTGCTTTGCATTTTAAGCGGCCCCTGTTTTGCCCTGACTTGGCCTCCAGCCACGATGCCCTACACCCAGCCTACTCCCTCAGAGCCCCTTTGCTGTGGGGTTCTCTGGGCGTGGGGGTTTCCCACTGGTGCCCCCACCCCCAGCTTTGCACCCCCCCACCCTGCGGGAGGGAGGGAGCTGTTGTGGAGGCACCGAAGCAGAGGGAATGAGGGTGTGTGTGGGGTGGAGGTGGGGGTGGGGGGAGCTGCCAGGCCCATTAGGGCCAAGTCACTGCTCCAGCCTCCTCCCCATACACTCCACCTCCTGTGCACACAGAATGGAATCCAAAAGATCCCCTTAAATAGGTGGCTTCTCTGTTCCCATCCTGTTCTGCCAGGCCCATAGATAGGACTTGGAGCCAGGATTCCCTCCCACACCCTCATCTCTGGGGGCTGAGGCCCTGCTCACTGAGCCCCGATCTCATTTGTCAGATGGGCAGAGCGGTTCCTGCCTCCTGGGGTTGAGCATCCGAGGAGGTAAGGCACCTGGCACCTGGAGGACCCTCAGTGGGTCGCTCGCTGCTGTTCCTGTTTCGCCCGCTCCTAGCCCGGCTGCCGCGCTGGGAGGCGGCTCTCCAGCTTCTCTTCAGATCCATGCCGCTACCTCATGTCCATTATTAAAGAAAGATTCCTTCATTTATTTGAAAGGTAGAGTGATTGAGACACACGCACACACACACACACACACGCGCGCGCGCGTGCGTGCGCTCGCGAGTGCACCTGCCTCTTCCGTCTGCTAGTTCACTCCCCAAATGCCCACAACAGCTGGAGAGCCAGGAACTCCCTCTGTCTCCCATGAGGGTGCAGGGGCCCAAGCACTTGGGCCATCTTCTGCTGCTTTCCCAGGCTCATTTGCAAGGAGCTGGATTGGAAGTGGAGCAACCGAGACTGCGATGTGGGATGCGGGAATCCCAAGCTCCAGCTTAACTCCCTGTGCCACAACCACCCCTACCCCTATTTAGCCTGGGCCTCCTTCATATCCCCTTCTTTCTCTCAAACTTCGGCCTGGTTGTGGAAATTCCTTCCCGAGTCTCACACCCACCCTTCAAGTGTGGCCCCCATAGGTCCTAGATCCTCAGACCTCCTTGTCTGCAGAGCTACAGGTACAGACAGGGGCTGACAGAGCTGGGGCTTTGCAAAGATGGCTGGGGGGGGGTGTGTGTGTGTGTGTGGGAAGAGGGGCAGGAGCAGCTGTCGCTGGGGCAGAGGCAGAGGAGGAGCAGCAGGAGGAGCCTGGAGGCAGGTGGGCCAGTGTGGGTGGTGGGGAGGGGAGTGTGGCTGGTGGGGGCCATCTGGGAAGGTGTGTGTGTGTCATTGTGACCTTTATTTACACCCATAGCTGTGTGAGTGTCTGCTGGGCTCGTGGGTGTGAGAAGCCTGGGCTGCCCACGCACGGCTAGGGAGCTGTCACGGACTGCACCTGCTCTCGGAGCCCTTGCTACAGCGAGTGAGAGGTAGAGCCGGGTGCCAGTGTCTCCTGCAGCTTGCTTGAGCCCACATCAGGTGTGCCTCAGTGTGCAGGTGCTGGCGTCCCACAGCCGGGGCTGGAGCCGCAGCAGCTGCCCCGCGTGGTACACTTCTGAGTCCATGAATATTTAAGGTTACAGGGCTGTGACGGGGTGATGCAGCCACTTAGTGGCTCCCCTCTCCCCTCCTCTGGGTTAATGGGGCCATTCTTTGTTGCCCTCAGCACTTTCTGCTTTTATTTATCTACTCTGCTCACTCCCACCTACCTCCAGCTGCATTAATTCGCTGATCCTCACAACCAACCGGGTGGAAGGGTAGGTATTAGCGTCTTCACTTTCCAAGGGTACTGTAGGGCGGGGTTGCTGACAGGGGCCACCTGGGCTGGCATCTGGGAGGTGAGGGTCCAATTCCCACCCTTGCTGCCAACTCCCTGGGTGAGTCCTCCCCTAACAATGCACGCACAGGCATACACATGAACATACACATGTACACATAGAGTGCACACATGTACACACACATGCCTGCATGCCCTGTGACAGGGATCTGGCGACCATGGGGGTCTCTTTCTGTCCTAATATTGTCACTCTGAGTTGTGGGGTGGGGTGGGGTGGGGGTGTCACACATTCAGGATGTCTCAGAACCCGGCTTTTAGCACCCAGCAGAGAGGGACCTTGTCTTTGGCTTTGCATTTCTCCTTGCCCAGCTGGGGCGGTGCGGGAGGCTCCTGCTTGTTGAATACAGGGTGCACACGCGCTGTGTCACCTAGCTTTAAGAGCTAGGGCTGGAGATGGCTTTTGTTTTAAAATTTTTATGTATTTGAAAGGCAGATAGAAGGAGGTAGCGAGGGAGAGCTAGATGGGGGAGGGTGAGAGAGAGCTAGAGTGAGAGCGAGTGAGAGTGAGAGCGAGAATGAGAGCGAGAGCGAGAGAGAGAGCGCAAGTATTTTCATCTGCTGGTTCATTCCCCAACTGCTGAGCCAGGGCAAAGCCCGGAGCCAGGTTCCCAATCTAGTTCTCCCACGTCGGTGGCAGGAACTCAATTACACGAGTCTGCCAGGGCCTGCATTCGCAGGAAGCTGGAGTTGGGGGCATAAAAGCGGCACTCTGATGTGGGGCACAGGCACCCGGACCAGCGCCCTGACTGCTAAGCCAAGCAGCTGCCTTCATTCCCCGGAAGGAGCAATGACCCCACCCGCAAGGGGCCTCCTCGGAAGCCATGTGCTTGCACTCCAGGGCTGCATCTCAGAGCTGTGACAGATGCTCTGAAAACCTGCCCCCCCCCCGGAGGGGGGGAGTCTTTGACCTCTGCTGGGTTTTGCTCTTTTGCAAATGGCTCAGAGTCTCTAGGGGCCAAGTCTTATGAAGAGGGAGGGAGGCCAGGTAGGGGGCAGGCCTTGATCTGGAGCAGAAGCATGGGTGCCCTGTGGAGTCTGTGTGTCCCCTCGTCCCCCAGGGGTGCCAGAGCCCACCTAGGAATCTGTAGAGCTTCTTTGGAGCCCCAGGAGCAGCACTGGAGTAGCGACGTGGGTTCCCCGGGGAGACCTTGGGAGGCCCAGGCCCCGGGGCGGTGTGCAGCTCCGTGTGCCTGTGAAAAAGCCCATGGCAGCCGTTCTGCCAGGCTGGGGTGCACACCCCTGCAGCTGGCGCTCTTGGGAATGAGGCCAGAGCTGCTGACTCACACAGAGGGGCTGCTCACTTCCCAAGTGCTTTGCCTCTTTGCAAACTGTGGAAACCACCAGCACGGGTAGGGGGAACAGCCTGTGGGATCAGCCGGGCCAAGCTTCTGGGCTGGGAGGGCGACACTGAGGCCCGAGAGAGGGAGGAAGCAGCTCTCTTAAGGCCTGGAAGCTTGCCTGTGTTTTCCAGGGAGAAGGGGACTGAAACAGCAAGGCCCAGATGACCCTCGAGATGTAGTGTAGCATCTGGTCCCCAGCACCCCAGTCAGCCCTACCATCCCCAACTCTCTCACAGGTTGAATTTTGAATATTTACATGTGGATATTGGATTTGTTCATTTACTTGAAAGACAGAGTTACAGAGGAAGAAGAAGAAGAAGAAGAAGAAGAAGAGAGAGAGAGAGAGAGTTCTTCCACCTGCTGGTTCACTCCACAAATGGCCACAGTGGCTGGGGCTGGGCCAGGCTGAAGCCAGGAGCTTCATCTGGGTCTCCCACTGGGGTACAGGGGCCCCAGCAATTGGGTCATCTTCCATTAGCGGGGAGCTGGACTGGAAGTGGAGCAGCT